TGGGGACCCCGCCGGACGGCCCTGCCTGCCCCTCTTCGGGCTCTGGGCCTCTCCGCAGAGCCCCCTCTCCTGTTTGATTCCGGTGTCGCTGTCTCCCCCGACCCCCACTTCTGGGACTGGACACCTGACACCGCTCTGTCACCCCTTGACCTTCGGGCCAGCGCTGGGCGCTGGGCCGCCCTCCCGCTGTTCCGGCCTCCTCCGGAGAGGTCATAAGGTCGGCGCCCCGGGGAGGAGGCTGGGACCCAAGCCCCACTGGCCAGTCGGGGGAGGGATTGTTACATTAATGAGGGTCAGGGCAGAGGGAAGAGAAGCTTGACTTTTCCTCTTACTTTCCCGTTTCCCCTCCCTCCTTCCACCTCCATCCTTCTCCCTCTCTGCTAGCTGTGACTCAGGCCTGACCTTCCTTCTCTGGAATTTCAAAAGCCCCCTTCTACTCGCTCAGTAGCTGGCCGGTGAAGGTCAGGGGCACCCTCCGCTCGAAAGGGGATTAAAGTGTGGAGGGTACTCCTGTGTGTGGGAGGCCCAACCAGGCAAGGGCTGAATGCTTTTCCTTCCCCGCCACCTCCCGCTTCCTGGTACTGGGGATTGAATCCAGGGCCTTTGCACTGAGCTATATCCCTAACCCTTTAAAAAATTGTTTTTTACCCTTTTAAATTTTTGAGATAGGATCTTTTAACATCTCTAAATTGCTCAGGCTATACTCAGATTTGTAATTCTCCTGCCTCAGCCTCCCAGAGTGCTGGGATCACAGGTGTGTGCTATCACACCTGCTGTTCAAGCTAAATTTTGAGCTAGATATGGAGTCCACAAGATCCAGTGTCCCTTCCTCAGTCAGATGGGATCTCTGGGATTCTGTGTGTTGGCCCTGGGACTCACTAGGCCTAGCAATTCCAGTTCTGCCAGTACCACCCTATCCACCCAGCTCCCAGCCCCCTCGGAAGGCTATACTAACCGCTATGCCCCTTGGGCATGCGGCAACTGACACTCCGTGTAACAGCCTGGCATTTAGAAGTGAGGAGGGAACAGCCCCGTGACCTGGTGGACCAGTTATTGATGCTTCACTTCCTGGGCCTCGGGGTTGGGAGCTGAGAGCTTCCTTGCTGCCCAGATCCCTTAGCCACCCTCTCCTGACAGTGACACTGGAGGACAGAGCTAGGGCTATGGCTCCGGTTACAGGAATTGGGGAGATGGAGTCTTTGGTGAGCCGTGGGCACAGAAGGACAGGAGCTGGGCTCCTGTATTTGGAGTCCCTTGCAGTGGGGCAAGGATCCCTGGGGAGGGCAGGGAGAGGCAGTGGGAGCTGAGGGCCACCATGGTGTAGGGTGACTGAGGGAGCCCAGCTGACCTGTTGCCTGAAACCCACTTCATCGGTAGATTTGGTTATGACTCAGCCCAGCCCCTCCCTCTGGTCGCATGGTGCTGAGTCTTTTCTCCTCTGGGGACACCAGGAATAAGACTTGGGTTCACAGGTGAGGGTGTTCTGAACTTTTGCCCAAGTCTCACCCTAATTTTGTCATGTCAGGGCTGATGGCCAGGGAAGGCTTCTGAGAGAGTGAGGGGGGCACTGGAGTCAATCCCTGGAGAAAGCTTGTGCAAAGGCCCCGGGGACATCACAGTCTCTCGTCCTTGCTTGCCCAGACATGAGACTGCAGGGTGAGCTGCTCAGGAGAGGGCAGGGTAGAAGTTCAGCCCAGGCAGGCACAGGACACTTGCAGACTGTCACACTGCAGCCAAAGCTCAGCCACCCCAGGTGTCCCAGTGAATCAGCTACAGCCACAGCCCAGGAGGAGGGTCAGGGTGAGTGGGAGAAAATCACGTGTTTGAGATACTGCAGGCAGCTGGGCTGAAGGCTGGGTCTGGCTGTCTTCAGGGAAGGCTCAGTCAGACACTGTCACAGCTGGGTGGGGGCTGGGTGTCCTGGGTACCCAGGGAGGCGGATGCCCAAGGTCAGACAGCCTTTGGGTGCTAGGCTCCTCCCGGTGGCTCCCCTTGTCATCTGCGTCCCCGCCTGCACTGGCAGCAGCAGCCAGAAGGGTGGTAGGTAGCAGGTAAAGGAGCCTCCTGGAGGAGGCCCCATGGGGCTTGAGGATGAATAGGTTTATGGAAGGAGATGGAGAAAAGAATACTACAAATAGGAGCCTGTGTTGGGATTCAAGGTTCAACGGGGGAGCGGTCTTGGAGAGTGAGCTCCAGTGGAGGGGAGAGAAGGGAGCCCCAGCTGGAGTTCTCTGACCTGCTGGGGTGTGGTTTGCCATCTTGGGGCCCCCTGAGCACACTGACAGGTTGTGCGTCTGGTAGGGAAACTGGACACCTAAGGTCAGTCATAGGAGAGAATGGAGGATCTCAGAGCAGCTGAAAAGCTGCCCAGGGTCACTCAGTGAGACTGTGGTGGCTGGGGTGGCCTTTGAAAGAGACCAGAGTGTGCTGATGGGGAGGAGGCTGAGAGCCGCTCCTGGTCACTCTGTCCCCACAGGACACTGACAGAACTTCTGAAGCAGCCAGGGCCCCAGGAACCTCTGCCTCCACCTCTGGGCCCACCCCTGGGTAGCTGTGTCCAGGTGCAGATGGGCGATGGCCTCCCCCGAGGGTCCCCCCACAACAGCACAGGTGAGGGGCCAGAGCAGGACACGGGACAGGGTGTGTGTGGGTGGGTAAGAGGAGGTTGCTTGCTTGGCTGGGGGTGGAGGCTCTGAGATGCTGCTTCCCTGACAGAGAACTGCCTGCTTCTGCAGGTGCCTGAGTCAGGGCCGGACAAGGGCTGGCTGCCCTTGGTGGAGAGGGGCCCCTCCAGTTTCAGGGGCTTCGCTTCTGTGAGGGAGGCTCCAGATTCAGGATTTGCTGGCCAGGGCTGTGTTTTTGTCTCTGGCCAGGCCTGGGTCTGGAGCTCTAAGTTTCCTCTTCACTGGCCGGGTCCCCCTCCTCCAGTTGGGCTCTGTCCCCAGACAACCCCCATATGTATGCAGGGAGCGCGCCTGGCTCAGCCTGCTACGCTGCCACGGAGCTGTCCATTGGGGCAGCGGCCCCCAGGGCAGGCTGCCATCCTTTGTGGTTTTTTGAGCCAGGCCCTGTTCTTCGCTCCCGACAATGGGCTAAAAAGCCAGGCTCCGCCCGGTGCTCCTCAGAGAGGCGCCACTCGGGTCCCCGCTGAGCTGCACTGGGGAGGGGAGGTGGCGCAGGTGGCGCAGGTGGCGCCTGATTCCTCCTCCCTCCAGACAGGAACCGCCTCAACAACGCGCCCCTGGGCTCCTCCACCCCGGGACTCCCTCGCGGCCCCCGGCAGCTGGGCTGTGGCAGTGTGACCCTGCAGCCCGACTACGCCAAGTTCGCCACCCTCAAGGCAGCTGCGCTCAAGGCCGCA